TTGGATACATGAAGGAATAGAAGGTTGTTGCTTAGTTTGTGAAGTAGTCTCATAAGAGAAAATTAATTAGCTCTTCACTGCATTCATAAGTGATATATTTAAGGAAAGGTGGAATAAAGTGAAACCAAATGATTTTACGTTAAGCATTGCTTTTCTTATAATGAAATCAATTATTTATAAGAAGATATTAATGAGAAAGCTTTAGAAATCTAGAGCAATATAAGGGTGGAGGAGAGTCTTAGTTATCTAGTCCTGCTATAAGATAAATACCACAAGTATTTAAGAGAGACACATTTCTTTTTTTCGCAGGAGGCTGGAAGTATGAATTCAGATAATGAATGCTAACAGATTTTCTCTGTGTTGTTAGCTGTCTGAGAATATTCTGGTCTCTTCAGCCTCTATTTCTGGGTTACTTAGAGATCTCCAAACATCTCAGAATCTACTTTACTCCATTTCTGTTTCTGTGTTTGCAATTCAGTTCTATTATATAGTGTCAGAATATTCAGGCCATGGTCTTTTCAGTCACTTGCTGTGCATCTGAGATGTGAACAGTGGATAAGGATGAATAATAAAGATTGATGCCTTTGAGTTGTGATATTGGAGAATAGCATTAAATATCCCATGGACTTCCAAAAGAACAAACAGATATGTCTTGGAAAATGTACATCCAGAGTGCTTGTTTTAGTCAAGGATGGGAAAGCTGCTTCTCACACACTTGAGGCATGTTGCTAGGAGAGGCTATTCCTTGGAGAGGGATGTCATGTTAGGAAAGGTGGAGAGTCAGAGAAGAAAAGGGAAACCCTCAACAAGAAGGACTGGTATAGTGACAGAAACAATGGTCTGTAGTATATTAGGTGATGAGGATGGCACAAGATAGGATAGTGTTCAGCTCTGTTGTTCATAAGATTACTGTAAGCTATACCTGGCGTGATGGCGCCTAACAATAACAACAACTATAGAATAAGCACCACAGTGGTGACTTCAAACAGAAACATGTTGTTTTACAGTTTAGAAGTCTAGAAGTTGAATTCCAGGTTTCCAGCTCTGGGGAAAGACTTTTTCACGCTGTCAGTTTTGGAGGAAAGTCCTTATTTCTTCTGAGCTTCTGCTTCTGAAAAGGAGACCTGATGGAAGAGTCTACAGGGAGTTGTTCTGGTAGCTCAAGGTAATGCCTCACTAAGAATTCGAGACCACCCACGGTTCCACAGGAGAGATAGGCAATCACCTCCCATGCCAGTCAGATCCACCTCAGGACAATGAGAGAGACACCTGCTTCTGGATGATCTTGTGATTTTTCAACCATTTTCCCTGTACTCTGCTCTGTTTATTTTCTATTCTACTTTAAAAGAGATTAGTTGTCATCTCATCCTACTCTAATCTTTCCTAATTATCATAACAACAACAACAAGAACAAACCATTCCAAGTGGAAGTATACCCAGAGATATTGCTGTTATTGTCCTTATTAGTTACCATCGAGTTTATCTGTAGTGACCTTATGAACAACAGATCAAAACTTTGCTCTACACTATCCTACCTCCACAATCTCTCTTATACCCAAGCCCATTCATTGTTGTGCCACTGTGTCAGTATCTCCCCGAGAATCTCCTTCTCTATCAAAGACCCTCAGCTTTTCTAAGCATGGTATCTTTTTCCAAAACCTAGTGCCTCCTGGCAACATGCTCAAAGTATGGGAGACAAAATTTCACCATCCTTACCACCAAGGGGCAATTCAATTGCATTTCTTTCGAGACAGATTTGTTTGTTCTTTTGGTAGTTGATGATATATATAGAAGAGATTGTTAGGTGCCATGAAGGTGCTATGACTCATAATATCCCTGTGAAAACCAGATCTGAGCCTTGTGCTACTTTGCACCATCCTCAGAAGCTCTGATATGCTCCGGCTCATTGCTACAAACACTGTGTCTTGTTGTGGGACTTTGTCTTTGTCTGATCCTGTTCCTTTCCCAACAGACTGTCTTTTTCCAAGTACTATCCCATCATCATGATCTCCTCCACCCTCAAGCTCATGGTTATAGTTTCTGTATCCATTTTCCTGAGGTTCTTGCTCTCTTTCACTGACCTTTCCCAGTATGATATCTTTTTCCAAGGATGGATTCCTTCTGAAAACATTCCTGAACTATGTAAGATGAAGTTTCACCATCTTCCCTTCTCGGGATCACTCAGGTTACACTTCCTACAAGACAGATTTGTTTGTTCTTTTTGCAGTATATGGGATAGCCAATATTTTTCACAAATACTATGGTCTTCCCAATTAAATGTTATGCTTCAGAGAGTTGGGTAATGACTAAGGATGACAGAAGAATGGGTGCCTTCGAGTTGTGGTGCTGGAGAAGAGTCTTGAACATACCATGCACTGCCAAGAAAACAAATGGGTCTGTCTTGGAGAGGGGAAGCCAGGTCTCTCCTTAGAGGCTAGGATTTTCAAGCTCCACCTCACTTACTTTGGACACCTGGCCACGAGAGATTGATCCTTGGAGAAGGACATCATGCTTGGAAGGGTGGACAGACAGCACAGGGGAGGGAGATTCCAGATGAGATGGATTGATACAGTGACTGGGGTGATGAGAGTTGGTGTGTCAGAGTTACTGAGACTGGCTCAGGACAGGGAAGCGTTCTGAGCTGCTGTACATAGGGTCACTCTACATCGCAGATGACTCAATGGCACATAAAAACAATAGCATACTTGCATTGAAAAACAAGGAACTCATGCAATATTATTCAAAATGGGTGACCCTGGAGGATATGATGCTGAGTGAAATATCTCAGTCACAAAGGGACAAATGCTATATGGTGCCACTGTTGTAGAATGAGGCTGACATCAGGGTGGGGATAAGACTGAAAAAAAACTGGACAAATTATGTTTACTGCATTGAAGTCTATGAGGAGAGAATAGTTTAAAAGTATTATATTTTAGGGCATTATGTTTATCATAAGAGTA